CCCATGGTGGTGTCCCTATCCTGGTTACCCATGGTGGTGACCCCAGTCGTGGTGGCCCCATGGTGGTGTCCATGTGGTGGTAGCCCCACAATGTTGGCCCCAGTCATGGTGGCCCCACCATGGTGGCCCCGTGGTGGTGGCCCCGTGGTGGTCGCTCCAGTGCGGTGACCCTGGTGGTGGTGTCCTCATGGTGGCCCCCCCACCCACGGTGGCCCCATGGTGGGCCCTTGCAGGAGGAGCGCTCAGCCCAGGCGACGCTGGCTGCCTGGCGTGAGTACCGGCATGCTTGTGAGCTGCGCCTGCGCCTCGACCCCCCGGCACCTGGTGAGTGGGGATGGGGTAGGGAAACCAGGGGGACGCTGGGGACACCCTGACCCCCCCTGCACCCCTCCCCAGGACCCGTCTGCAACCGCAGCTTTGACATGTACGCCTGCTGGGGGGACGCGGCTCCCAACAGCACCATCACCGTCCCCTGCCCATGGTACCTGCCCTGGCACCACCGAGGTAATGGCCGGGGGGTGGCACTTGCCCTGGGGGGTCCTGTGGGTGCCCCTGGGTGCCACGGAGTGATGGGACGAGGTGCTCAGTGCAGGGTGGGGTGGTGGCTCGGCGCTGCGGACCTGACGGGCGGTGGGTGACAGACGAGACGGGGTGGCCCTGGCGGGACCATTCGCAGTGTGAGGACCCGGCGCAGGAGCAGCTGCTGCAGGTGGGAACCCGGGTGCTGCGCCGTGGCACGCTGCAGGCTGCGGTGCCGGAGGGGGTGCCATGCTGGGAGATGCCATGCTGGGATGTGTCATGCTGCCATGCTGTGCTGTGCTGTGCCGTGCCGTGTGCCGTGCCGTGCACCATGCTGCTCTGCTGTGCCATGATGTGCCATGCTGTGCCCCGTGCCGTGCTGTGCCATACACCATGCCGTGCACCGTGCCGCTCTGCTGTGCATCGTGCCGTGCTGTGCCGTGCCATGCTGTGTCCCATGCCATGCTGTGCCGCACTGTGCACTGTGCCACGCCGTGCCGTGCCCCACGCTGTGCCCCATGCTGTGCCATGTGCCATGCCACACTGTGTTGTGCACCATGCCACGCCGTGCTGCACTGTGCTGTGTTGTGCACCATGCCATGCCCCGTGCAGTTCCTTGTGCCATGCTGCGCTGCGCTGTGCCCCATGCTGTGCTGTACCCTGTGCCGTGCCCTGTGTTGTGCCGTGCCCCTTGTCCCATGCTGTGCTGGGCCATGGGCCGGGGGCTGCACTGCGCCAGGCTGACATGTGCTGTACCCCATGTCGTGCCGTGGCATGCACCGTCGGGCTGCACTGCAGCGTGTGCCGTGCCAGGAGCTGCTGGGCTGCACTGTGTTGCGCTGCTGTGACACGCACTGGGCTGCGCTGTGCCATGCCATGTTGCACTGTGGCATGCTGTGCCATGCATTTTGCTGTGCCTGTTGCACCGTGCCATGCCTCTTTGCACCATGCTGTGTGGCACCGTGCCATGCCACACCACACACTGTGATGCGTTTTGCTGTGTTGTACCACGCCGTGCCACGATAACGCACCGTGCTGCACCGTGCCATGCCATGTTGCACCATACCATGTTGTGTTTCACCATGCCATGCTGTGACATTCACCATGCCACACCATGCCCTGTTCCACCTCCTGGTGCCGTGCCACATCCCTGTCCCTGGTGACTGTTGTCCCTGTCCCCGTAGCGGCAGGCCTGGCTGCTGGAGCAGTTCCGTCTCCTCTACACCGTGGGATACTCCCTCTCCCTCATCGCCCTCCTCCTGGCACTGCTGCTGCTTCTGCTCTTCAGGTACCTGCACCGGGGCACCCTTGGGTGCTAGGGGGGCACCCATGGGTGCTGCCACCCACTGCCCCTCGTCCCCGCAGGCGCCTGCGTTGCACCCGCAACTTCATCCACGCCAACCTCTTCCTGTCCTTCGTGCTGCGGGCGGGCGCCATCCTGACACGGGATGCGCTGCTCCAACGCCGACTGCGCCCCGGTCCCGGGCACCCCCTGCAGCTGCTGGGCCAGCAGGTGGGCACCCATGGGGGATGGGGGGCACTCATGGCAGGGGGTATCCACGGGTGGGGCACCTACGGAGGTGGCACCCACCAGGGAGTACCCATGGAGGGGAACACCCATGGTGGGGGTACCCAAGGGTGGGGGGCACCCATGGGTGGGGCATGGTGGGCTGCACTCGGATGGGGCACCCAAGGGTGGGGGCTGTTCCCATCATGGTGCTGGTGCCACCACGATGTTGGTGCCACCACGATGCTGGTGCCACCATGATGCTGGTGCCACCACAGTGTTGGTGCCACCACAATGCTGGTGCCACCACGATGCTGGTGCCACCACGATGCTGGTCTAACATGATGCTGGTGCCACCCTGATGCTGGTCCCTCCCCGATGCTGGTGTCCCCGTGGCGGTGTGGGTGTCCCTCCAGCAGGCAGTGACAGGGTGCCGGCTGGCCCAGGCTCTCACCCAGTACTGTGTGGGGGCTAACTACGGGTGGCTGCTGGCCGAAGGACTCTTCCTCCACAAGCTCCTGGTGCTGGCAGCCTTCTCCGGCGAGCGCTGCCTCCCTGCCTTCCTCCTCCTTGGCTGGGGTGAGCCCATCCCCATGTCCCCCCTGTGTCCCCATGTGCCTCCGCATCCCCTCCCCAACCTTGTCCCCATGCCTCCAGGAGGTCCCGTGCTCTTCGTGGTACCATGGGTGGTGATGAGGTACCTCTATGAGAATGAGGGGTGAGGCTGTTGGACAACCCCCCCTCCCCATTTTGTCACACCCTGGGGACACTCTGATGTCCCCAACAGGGGACCCAGGCATCTGGCTGAGTGCCCCCCCCCAAACTCTGGCAGGTGCTGGGAGAGGAACGAGAAGGCAGCAGTATGGTGGATAATCCGCTGTCCCATCCTGATGGCTGTGGTGGTGGGTGACACAGCGTGGGGGTGGCCATCCTGGGGCAGTGTCCCCACTGCAGGGGGTGTCAGTGTCAGTGTCTCCATCCCCAGGTGAACTTCGTGGTGTTTGTGCGCATCGTCCGCATCTTGGTGGCCAAAGTCCGGGCGCATCAGGTGTCCCGTGGGGACACCAGGGTCAGGTGGGTACATGGGGACCTTGGTGTGCGTGTGGGACATGGGGGGATGTCCCCCAGCATGGGGACACTGGGGATGGGCATGGGGATGCCAGTGACACTGGGACACTGGGGTGTGTGTGGGGACACGCACTGCATACCCCATCCCTGTCCCCATCTTGTCCCCATGCTGGCCGTGCAACGTCCTTGTGCCCATCCCGGCTCTGTGCACGTCCCCACGTGTGCTCCATCCCTGCAATGTCCCCAAGCACGTCCATGAGTGTGTCCCCACCCCTGTCATGTCCCCAAGTGTGTCCGCATGCCTGTCATGTCCCCAACCATGTCCCCATTCCTGTGACATCCCCAAGTGTGTCCCTATGCATGTGTCCATCCCTGTAATGCCACCAAACGTGTCCCTGAGGGTGTCCCCATCACTTCCCGAGG